GAACCCACCCCAGGACGCCAAGGACCCACTCCAACCGCCCACCACACGCACACACACGCCCAGATCAATAGCCAGCACCTTGCCCACTCTGCGTCCGCCCCAGCTGCACCTTGCCCCACCCACCTACCCTGGGCATGACGCAATCCAACCTCGCTCGCGTTCCCTCGCCCCTTCGCAGCTTTTTTATACGAATTCTAGTATATATATAAATAAAAAAATAAAAAAACTTGTGGTGTGACTTGACATAATCGGTCGGTCTTTTTTTCTGTATTTCTGTATTTTTCATTACTCTTTTTTTCTTTGATTTTTTTTAATATCATGATTTCTTCTACTTCCTTTCAATTCAATTATATCTTTAAACTATTATTACTCTTTGTCACCTCTTTTCCCTCTTCTTTCTCTTTCTTTCTTTTTTGTGTCGTTTTTGCATTTCTTACCCCTTTCCCTTACTCCTTCTTTCTTCCTTATCTTCATCCTGATCATCAAGTTTTCCTTCTCTTCCTCTCTATCTCCTTCTCCCTCATCGTCGCCACTGTTATCCTGTTTACGCTTCTTCCTTCTTTATCCATCGTTTCCCTTTCTCCCTAAGCTCTTCCCCTTCTCCCATTTACCCTTTCCTTCACACCTGTAGCTTCATCAATCTTTCCCTTATTATCTCCCTTTTACTTTCAACCTCCTTACGCTGCTATTTACATTATTCCAAATAAGGAAACAGCGAGAGGGGTGAAAACAAGACATCGGTAGTACCTCTCCGTTACCTGTTATATTCTTTCCCTCTCTCTTCTCTTCTCTTCGCTATTTCTCTATTTTCTCTATTTTCACTCCGTTTCCTTTTTCTCTTTCTCAATTTTCTCTCTTTCTTTCTCAATTATCTCTTTCTCTATTCCTTCCCCCACCCACCTCTCTCTTTTTTCCCCTCTCTCTCTCTTCTCTCTCTTCGCTATTTCTCGTTTTCTCTATTTTCACTCTAGCTTTTTTATTTTCTTTCTCTCTCTATTTCTCTCTCTTTCTTTCCTATTCTATCTTTCTCTATTCCTTCCCCCACCGACCTCTCCCTCTCTTTCCCTAACTTCTCTTCTCTTCGCTATTTCTCTATTCTCTCTATTTTCACTCTGGCTTTCTTTATTCTCTTTATCTCTCTATTCTCTCTCTTTCTTTCCCTATTCTCTCTTTCTCTATTCCGCCACCCGCCACCCCCACCCCTCTCGATCCTCTCCCTCTCCCTCTCTCCCTCCCTCTCTCTCCTTTCTCCCTCTCTCTCCTTCTCCCTCCCTCTCCCTCTCATCCCTCTCCCTCATCCCTCCTCTTCTCCTCCAATCCCTCTTTTTATCCCGTAAAAATCTCACCGACTCCAAGGTGATGCTTTTTTTTCTTTTCTTTTTTTCTCTTTTTTAGCAAGGCAATGCTGGCAATTCTGTTTTCCTCAAGGTGATACCGGCACCTCTGCTTCGTCGAGGTGATGCTGGTAACTGTGTCCTCGCCACCATCATTCAATACCCGTTCGTGACCTGCTTCATCCTCGGTATCATGGTCTTTGGTATATATAAAGCACAACCTCTCATTTATACCTTTATTTAGCTTTTTGTGCAACGTTAATCAAACTTTCATTAATACCAATACTTTCCGTTTAAATTCCATGATCAAGTTGAAGTCGGCTTTATAAACTATGAAATGCTACGACTATGCTCGACCTCATCGCGTGTGTCCATCAAAAGCAGTAGGCTGGTTCTTAATTAATCATCAAAAGCAGTAGGCTGGTTCTTAATTAATCAAACTGCAGCTGATACCGCGTTTCAAATAATTGGGGAGAAACTAGGTCGCTTATTGTGAATGTAGGCTGATTTACATATTTGGTGCAATTATCATAAAATTACAATAAAACTAGATTTCGTATCCCTCCGCAGTAAAACAATAATTACCCTGAAAACCAATAAAGATGTAAACAAGAGTCACGTGGTCGATCGATATTGCACATCTGGTACCAAATGCATTCGACAATTCAAGAAAAATCAACCGAAAACCCTAAAAAATATTATGCAGGTGACCACTGCGGTCTCCACGCTGGTTATGACACAACAGGTGTTTGGCGACCTCCTCTTCGGGTGCGTGCGTGCGTGCGTGCGTCCTTGAGCGAGTGCGTTCTTGCGTGTGTGGCAGGTGCGGCAGTAAGAGCTGTGGTGCAGTATGTGTTCTTGCGGTTGCAGTAGAAGCGAATCAAAAGGGTGACTTTCAGGACCAAACAAAGAAAAGATTAAACGAGACGAAAAAAAATCCCAATCTTCCTGCTGAAAGTTATACTCACGATCGGGCACGACCCAGGCGACGCCGCTGCCGAAGCGTCCGTTGAGCGCCCCTTCCTTGAGGCCGGGCGTGGCACCCGCGCGTCCTCCTCGCCCGGGCCACGGAGGCCACACTCATCGAGTCACTGATCCACACGGCGGAATACACAAGAGGGCGAGGGGGCTGAAGGAGGCACTGCCGTCGCCTCGAGTCACAGGGG